AAGGCTACTCTTACTTACCCAATCCCTGCCTTTACGTGTACATCAGATCCTCCGTGTTTATCGATTATGCTATCCAGATACGTGAAAGTTTTCACCTCTTCCAAAGACTCTTCATTAAGTGTGATTGGATTGTTGCTCACTGTGCTTTAATATAGGATTTTGCATTCTCGTATATCGAGACCTACTGATATAGCGGCTGTTGATGCACAGGATGTCATCACCTGCATTTATTAATATGTATAAAATAAAAGAGTAATATCATCTGCAAAGTTCAAATCGTCCGGTTGCACCTAAGCTATCCATTGTATTCCATGATTCCCCTAAGATAAATAGGTCTTCATAATCCAGTCTAATGCCAGGTGGACGATAAAAGGCGAGAAGATACAGCCTTGTCTGACTCCGATCCTTACTTGGAATTCGACTGTCATCTGTCCTTCATGTACGACTTTGCAGTGTAGTGCTTCGTATGAATTTCGTGTGATAATGACGATCTTCTAATCTAATTACCCCATAGTTCCATAAAGTTCCCTTATTCACTCTGTCAAGTGCTTTCTCATATTAAATGAAGGTGATGTATAGTGACGAGTACCATTCAATTGATTGTTCAACGATGATCCGTAGTGTCGCGATTCGATCGATATACTATTGATCCTTACGGAATGCCGCCTGTTGACCTCGAAATTGAGCATCTACTGAATCTTTCACCCGGTTCAACAAAACTTTGCTGATACCTTTTCCTGGTAATGATAGTATTGTAATGTCTCCGTAGTTCTCACACTTGCTGAGAATTCCTTTCTTTGGCATCTTGATGAGGTGTCCCTCTTTCCAGTCCGTCAGCACTTGTTCCCCTTCCCAAATCCTCTTGAATAGAAAGTGAAGCATGTTTGTAGCTACTTCAATATCTGACTTCAGTGCTTCAGCTGGTATATTATCAGGTCCTGTTGCTTTCCCACTGATGATTTGTCTGATGGTCATCCTGATTTCTTCAGTCGTTAGTGGAGTGACATCTATAGGAAGGCCTGTGTGTTACTTTGACGTCCGGTGGGTTCAGTGGGGTTGGTCTATTCAAGAGTTCTTCAAAGTATTATACCCACGTGTCCCTCTGTTCTTGAATTCCAGTGACTGGCTTGACATCTTCGACCCTGACCGGTCTCTCTGGTTTACCACATTTCCCTCTTACATCCTTGGTTTTGACACATGATCGTTTTATATTGCCTCTTCTTACAGCCTTTTCCACGATTGTTTCTAGATCTTCTACGTGTCTCCGTTTATCAGCACTAGTGCTCTTGGTCACTTACTTGTTTGCTTCAGTGTACTCAGCTTGTGTCTTAACTTTCTCTGTTCTTGTTCGACTATTGTTAATTGCTGTCTTCTTGTTCTTCCTTTCATGAATCTTGTCCAGGGTTTCCATAGATATCCACTCACTATGACGAGGCCCAGAACCGCTTGACACGTTGAAGTTAGTACTTCTTTGATCGATTTCCAGCTGTCCTCCATAGTAGTTTTTTCGCCTTTCAGCAGATCCTCTAAGGCTTTGAACCTGTTGTTGAGAGCTATCTTGAACTCGTTGAGTTTGTCAGTACGTCAAAAGATAGCTGCATTGAACCTTCATAATACTGTTTGTCCAGTTGTCCAATGCTTGTTTTAGCTTCAATTTCATCTTGTCAACCACCAGGTGGTGATCTGAAGCTATGTGAGCTCCTCTCTCTGTTCTCACGTTTTCTATTGACCTTGTGAATTTTTTACCGATGCATTTATGATCGATCTGGTTTTCTGTAGTGTGATCTGGTTAGACCCATGTAGATATGTGGGAGAATATAGTGCCATCCAGAATCATTTTGTTGAATGCACATAAATTTGCAAATCTCCCATGATTCTCGTTTCTTTCTCCCAATCAGTCAATGTTGTCCCATGATATCTTCATAACCGTTGTTTTCTATTCTGAATTTAGTGTTTAGATTTCCTATCAGATCGCTTCTTGGACACTTCTATATTATCAGTTACAGCCTGTCGTAGAACTGATCTTTATCGTAGTAATTACTATCATTGGTGGGTGCATAACATTGGATAACATTCATCGTGATTCTCTCCTTCTTTGTTTTGTGTGATGGTTTGATTATTATGGATCTATGAGATTCCTACCCCCTAAGTGCTCGTTGGGCCCCTTTGAACAGCATCAGAGAAACCTTCTGAGAGCGTGGAGCATTTTCTTCTCAGTGGCCGGAGTACAGCAACATCTCTCACGTACCTAACCTTTTCATTCCAGCTTAAGTCGAATGGGTTTCGCTGATTCCGAGCACCATCAAGTTGTATCTTCGCATTTCCTTAGCTGTTTGACTGGTCCTTCTGGTCTCTCACACTGTCTGGAAACTCCATGCACCTATATTAATTGCTGCTCTGGTTGTTAGAGGAGGCATCAGCCTCGTCACTTCCGGAGAATCTCGGCCTTTACCGGGAAGCTTCATAATTCTTCTCTCAACTCGGAGGACATAGTTTAAATGGCTTAAATTACTTTTTCTGATTAGTGTTTTTAGCAAGTTTATTCTTTATGGCATCAGTCAGTCAGCTACAGTGTAGGACCAGTCACATATATCCATCAGTCCAAGTTGCTATACAGCATTAGCACAACAAGATCAACACCAAATTCATAGAACTAGTTACTTCAGTGGTGGTGGTAGTATATAAAAGAAAGATTGCATATAAGGACATAGTACAGGAAGAAAGAATTAGTTCGTAGAAAGAAAAGTATAAAGTAATTTTAATCTTATCGTTTAAGGGAAGAAAAAAAGTGTATACACCAACGCTATTGTGATCGATTCTGAGCCATGTCACACAGAGTCTCCAACCATTGGTTACGATAGTCACGCGGACCACAACCAAGTAGTCTGCATCTACCAACATCGCTCAGACCACAAAACAGTGACTTCAAGCACTGACGCCATGTTTTAGTTTCACCAACCCTTATTTTCTTCCAATCATCACCAACACTGGTTAGCATTGCACGTCGTGATACTCGGTGTTCTGGCATACATAACACGTGACCCAATCATCTCAGTCGATGAAGATTCACAATCTCATCAACTGATTTACCATCATGCCCTAATACCCTGCGTCTAACCTCACTATTACTTACCTGGTGATCCCAGCAGACGCTAGCAATAATTCTAAGGCATCTGTGGTCAAATACTAGTAGCTTACGAGTATCTTCTACTCTTAATGGCCATGTTTTGTTGCCGTAAATTAAAACATAACGGACTGCCGCGCAGTATACTTGTCCTTTTATTGATAGACGGATATCTCTCCTTCGCCATAGGTGACGTAAGTTGGCAAAAGTCAAACAAACTTTTCGAATCTGTGCTGAGATTTCGTCAAACACCAACCCATTAGGGCTGATCAGACTTCCAAGATAAGTGAAGTTGTCGACTGCTTCACTCCCCAGTCCTGAAGCAACAACTTGCATTTAGAGGGAGAGAAGTGTATTCCAAACATTCTGGCATTGTTGCTTAGTGCTAACAAAAGAATCTGCATTTTGTCAGCGTCTTCACCAAACAGGACTATGTCATCTGCATATTCTAAGTCGATAAGTGGACCTCCTGGAAGGAGAACGTTATTTTCATCAGGAGTTCTGTGATGAAGTTAAACAAAAATGGAGAAAGTGGACAACCTTGACGGACAATTTTATATGGGATATGTTCACTTGTCTCGTACCCACCTCTCCTTTATCCGGGTTTCGGAACGCAGTAACCCTATTACAACTACAGGGGGACTTAGTATAACTATACGGCCTTTGAATTATATGACTTTGACTAATATTTCATCCTGTGTTTAAATTAGTTGAATAGCTTTTAAATGTCTTATCGACTAAAATCAGATTAGTTGTTTACTTTTAAACATCAACTAGTGGTTACATTAATCTCATTTCTCTTCTAGTCAAGCAGTAATCTGAAAATCATATAATATTCTTTAATAATACACTTAACTTATATCGATATATAAATACACATAGGGATTACAGAGATTTCAACGTGACAGAGATTATTTTATCTTGATTAAGCACGAATATAAGTGCGGATAATCAAAATAATTGTTTATTTAAAAACATAAAAATTGGTGTGAGGAGGCATCAACCAGATTTATGTGAGGGCTGAGACACCTACCGGGTGCCCAAGCCGAAGCATGTGGTTTTCTTAGGGGACCACATCCCAAGCCTTTGGTATGAAGGTCTAATTAAAAAGGCAGTTGAGTAACGTCAGGAGATGCAGTCTTATGGTAACCGGTGACAAACAACAGGTCAATATGCCATTTATTTTCTTAAAATCCTGAAACCTATGTGCACTATTGGTTCGCAATCATGGTTTTCCAACTTATCTAGGTGGATACTCCGTATCCACCAAACCGGTTAAAGCGCTGGACATTCGCTTGTAGTCCTCTTGTTTTCGTAAAAAACACCTCTGGCTCGAGAAAGCAGTGAGTAGGACTTCCCTGGCAGTAGTTGTTAAATAAACATCATTCTACTTTCTACCTGTTTTCGGATATTTAATTCCTTCATTCTCTATTTTAAAACAACATTTATCCGTTCATCACCAAACTAACATCAATCATTGTTAAAAGAAAAACATGGGACAAACCTGGTAACTAAAGATAATCATTATAAATTTGGATATAAATGGGAATTGAAACAATTAACCCAAAAATTGGAGCACATACTACATTTATTTATTTATTTTTAAAAATCAATTGTTCAAAAAAAGACACGAAAAAACCGATTCACTAGTTCGATGATGATGATGATGATGATGATGATGATGATGATGATGATGATGATGATGATGATGATGATGATGATGATGATGATGATGATGATGATGATGATGATGATGATGATGATGATGATGATGATGATGATGATGATGATGATGATGATGATGATGATGATGATGATGATGATGATGATGATGATGATGATGATGATGATGATGATGATGATGATGATGATGATGATGGATGATGATGATGATGATGATGATGATGATGATGATGATGATGATGATGATGATGATGATGATGATGATGATGATGATGATGATGATGATGATGATGATGATGATGATGATGATGATGATGATGATGATGATGATGATGATGATGATGATGATGATGATGATGATGATGATGATGATGATGATGATGATGATGATGATGATGATGATGATGATGATGATGATGATGATGATGATGATGATGATGATGATGATGATGATGATGATGATGATGATGATGATGATGATGATGATGATGATGATGATGATGATGATGATGATGATGATGATGATGATGATGATGATGATGATGATGATGATGATGATGATGATGATGATGATGATGATGATGATGATGATGATGATGATGATGATGATGATGATGATGATGATGATGATGATGATGATGATGATGATGATGATGATGATGATGATGATGATGATGATGATGATGATGATGATGATGATGATGATGATGATGATGATGATGATGATGATGATGATGATGATGATGATGATGATGATGATGATGATGATGATGATGATGATGATGATGATGATGATGATGATGATGATGATGATGATGATGATGATGATGATGATGATGATGATGATGATGATGATGATGATGATGATGATGATGATGATGATGATGATGATGATGATGATGATGATGATGATGATGATGATGATGATGATGATGATGATGATGATGATGATGATGATGATGATGATGATGATGATGATGATGATGATGATGATGATGATGATGATGATGATGATGATGATGATGATGATGATGATGATGATGATGATGATGATGATGATGATGATGATGATGATGATGATGATGATGATGATGATGATGATGATGATGATGATGATGATGATGATGATGATGATGATGATGATGATGATGATGATGATGATGATGATGATGATGATGATGATGATGATGATGATGATGATGATGATGATGATGATGATGATGATGATGATGATGATGATGATGATGATGATGATGATGATGATGATGATGATGATGATGATGATGATGATGATGATGATGATGATGATGATGATGATGATGATGATGATGATGATGATGATGATGATGATGATGATGATGATGATGATGATGATGATGATGATGATGATGATGATGATGATGATGATGATGATGATGATGATGATGATGATGATGATGATGATGATGATGATGATGATGATGATGATGATGATGATGATGATGATGATGATGATGATGATGATGATGATGATGATGATGATGATGATGATGATGATGATGATGATGATGATGATGATGATGATGATGATGATGATGATGATGATGATGATGATGATGATGATGATGATGATGATGATGATGATGATGATGATGATGATGATGATGATGATGATGATGATGATGATGATGATGATGATGATGATGATGATGATGATGATGATGATGATGATGATGATGATGATGATGATGATGATGATGATGATGATGATGATGATGATGATGATGATGATGATGATGATGATGATGATGATGATGATGATGATGATGATGATGATGATGATGATGATGATGATGATGATGATGATGATGATGATGATGATGATGATGATGATGATGATGATGATGATGATGATGATGATGATGATGATGATGATGATGATGATGATGATGATGATGATGATGATGATGATGATGATGATGATGATGATGATGATGATGATGATGATGATGATGATGATGATGATGATGATGATGATGATGATGATGATGATGATGATGATGATGATGATGATGATGATGATGATGATGATGATGATGATGATGATGATGATGATGATGATGATGATGATGATGATGATGATGATGATGATGATGATGATGATGATGATGATGATGATGATGATGATGATGATGATGATGATGATGATGATGATGATGATGATGATGATGATGATGATGATGATGATGATGATGATGATGATGATGATGATGATGATGATGATGATGATGATGATGATGATGATGATGATATGATGATGATGATGATGATGATGATGATGATGATGATGATGATGATGATGATGATGATGATGATGATGATGATGATGATGATGATGATGATGATGATGATGATGATGATGATGATGATGATGATGATGATGATGCTGATGATGATGATGATGATGATGATGATGATGATGATGATGATGATGATGATGATGATGATGATGATGATGATGCTGATGATGATGCTGATGATGATGATGATGATGATGATGATGATGATGATGATGACTGATGATGATGATGATGATGATGATGATGATGATGATGATGATGATGATGATGCTGATGATGATGATGATGATGATGATGATGATGATGATGATGATGATGATGATGATGATGATGATGATGATGATGATGATGATG